TATATATATATATATATATATATATATAAAATTCGAATAATCCTTTCCTTCGTGAAGGAAGGAAAAATACGAGGAGAATAAATTATAATACGTTTATTCCACTAACCACGTGCTCCTGATGGCCGTCATTCCCGCTGAAGATCGGCCGGGACCACGGCTTGGAAACCGGAAAACCCCTCTCGACACTGGTGTATGGAGCCGAAGGAACGACAACGCGCACCACCTCCACGGACGGGAGTCGGCCACTGACTGAACGTGACTCTGATTCTCTGGAACCGGGAGGAGGCTGCGTCGACCGGTCAGGGACCACGAGCCTGCGGCCTTCTGACACTCAAGTCACCGTCAATTTCTCCCCCTTCCTTCTTTCTCCCTGCCTCTCTTTCTCTTTCTCTTTCACCGGCTGTTGCGTTTCGTTCCTCGTGTTTTCTTCCTTTTTTTCTTTTCTTTCAAACGTTATATTTAACGTAATCGTAATAGGGACTCTCGTATCTGACAAAATCTATCGATACTGGATCAATAAGAGGTGTGATTTCGTTCATTCTTAATCGAATCCTTACGTTGCTTCTTTTTTACATCGATGTTCTTTAGCTTCGATTCTTTAGATTTTCTTGTTTATTTTTTTTTTTTTCGAAGCGTGATGGCAATTTGATTGGAATTAAATTGGATTTGGTATTCATCGATGGTATTTTTCGAATGGTACGATGATAAGTGTTTCGAGGCACGATTTGGGGGCGTAGAATGCACGGGTGTTTTAGTTTGAGGATCTTGTTAGTTCGTTTTTGCTAATCGTTTGCTAAATATACTCACGAAATGGAAGGGAAACGAGCAGTTCTAACACTCGGATGCCACGAAGAATGCTTTATTTACAGGTATAAAGAACCAGTTGTTGCAATCGAGAAATTTGTTTTTTTTTTTTTTTAATTAACATATAGAAACGACATTAGATTTATCGACGAGAGAGAAATTTTAGCACCATTAAATCTATTGGCAAACAAAATTGAAAACGTTTACGATATTTAGGAAAACAATCTATCCTATCGAAAAAGAGTATCTTACGCATCATTAGTTATCATATTGTTAAAAAATTTGCCTAGTTTCCATGAACAAAAAATTCCAGCATAATTAAATAAAGTATCAACAAATGTTTAAATCAATCGAAGGATCATTAACTATTTATATCGTGTATTATAATCTATTCTATATTACAATTAATTAACCTTATCTAATTCCCAAGAATCCACTCCACTTCGATGGACATACCTCGATAGACGAAGCTTCATTAAAAATTCCTTTCTCGTCGCGAACAACCAGCGTGACTGTGACACCACAACATGTGACAATTCATTCTAAAAACCACGCCTATTAAAAAATCTTAAAAATTTCCAAGAAACTCTGAGAGGGACTCTTCTTCCGACCGAGTAAAGGCAGATTCAAGGAAGGAACGAAAAGAGCAATGAATTCTGAAAATTCATTCAGCTCATTCACTCGAATGTCTTAATGAAAAGTGAATGAGCGATCATTCGATCCGCGTAGCGATAGTCGATGAATAATGGAACGCGCACTCTCTCGATGGCCCGTTAATAGTAACAGGCGACATGATATCTTAACGATAAAATAAACGATTCTTCGAGGATCGAAAGAAGGACGAATATCACGATTCCTCGGAGTTGATGAGAGAATACGCGATCGACAGAAGAAATGATTCTTCGGCGATCGACAGAAGCAAGAACGATTCTTCGGCGATGAAATGTACTAGAATTATCGATTTCTCGACGATATACGAAAGGAGAGAGAATTTCTCAGCGATGAAACGCGCGATCGAAGAAAGCTGAGACGATTCCTCGGCGATAGAGCACACGATCGAAAGGAAGGGAGGTTGGAGAGCATTGAATTAAACGGTGAATTAAATCCAGAATGACGATTATTGCGTTACCAACGATCGTTCGTGCAACGATCAGCTTTTCGCATTCTTCTCCGGATCCTATTTTCGATCATTGCGGAAAGCGAGCAACGTGTCTCGAATACAAACACTCAGAAAGTTCAAAGAAGTTCGAGAGGACAAGGAAGTTTTAACGATACGATTTAATAGATGGGAAGACAGGCTGTAAATCGTTTTAACAACCTACGAGGCACAATTGTTCGTACACCGTTCCATCTCCCAGTTTCAATCCCGTTTTCTTTTTCCGATCGGGTTGCTTCGAATTTTCCTCGAGTGCTCTGCTACTGCGTGCAGCAACACGATATTTTAATTTCGTTTTTTTTTTTAAATCTGTCATTAAACCTCTCAGCATCTCGTGTATTTTATTATTTTCCCTTGTGATAATTTTCAAGATTTTATTTGTTCAAACCCATCGAAAATCAATTTTGCAGTTATTTGGAATTTTATTTGGAATTTCTCTCTCCCCCCCCCTCCCTCTCAATTTTAATTTGGAAATTCTCTTTCCATGTTTTATTTCAAATTTCTTCACGATCGGTTTACTTTATTGAATTTTATGTTTCAATCTTGTGGTCAGAAAGGAATCCCGATAAACTAGAATTTTTTCAATTTTATTGAAAGAAATTAAAATATAATCACGAACTATGCTTTTTCTAAATTATAAAGATTCTCATATTATTCCTGATTTTTAAATTAATTTTAATAACTATTATTCCACCATTCGATTCTATTAATAATCTAACCATGATAAAATCTTGGACCAGAGACACTAGCGACCGAAACATCAGACACCAGACTTACATCCATCAAATTCATTCGAAGTAATCACAATTCAAGATATTTTAATAAAATAACCAAATAAAAAAAAAAATAAAATAAATAAATTCAAATTTCCACTATCCGACAATAAATCCTCACTCATCTCTAATCTCCACGTATAAACGATTAAAAAAAAAAAAATACTAATCTTCTCTATCCAACACCCCGTTCGCCAGCATCTCCAGACGAATTATAATATCCACAAAGGAAAAAGAAAAAAGAGAAACGATGTAATCGATCCATTAGGACTAACCATGTGCATCGACGGCGCGTCATGACGGATGGCGAAATTCCCCGTCCAGCGGGAATCCTCGAAAAAAAAAAAACCTCCTCTCTCTTATTCCGTTAATTCACGTTGACGTGCGAGAGAACGGCACCGAGTCCTCGGTAAAGGACGCGCGCGTGCAACTCACGAGAGAAAACTGACCGAAAGAAACGCGGTACGCGAAGAGAGAACCGACCCCCGATAGAGCTGCTTTCGAGAGTCGAGAGGGAAAGAGGGAGAGAGCGGAGAATGGACGGAAAGAGAAAGGAAGACGGGAGAACGAGAAGGAGTTGGATGGAGAGACGAATGAGGAGAGAGAGAAAGAGAGAGATATTATACGGAGTTGGAGGCAGAGATGAGGAGAGGTGAAGAAGAGAATACGAAAAGGAAGGAGGACCGAAAGGGAAGAAGAGAAGAGTAGGAGGGTAAGAGTGAGTAGCTTGGTGGGGACTTCTTACTCATTCATACTCAAACGCCCCCGCAAAATTGCAAGCACCGTGGAGACGGTGCTTTTTCTTTTGCACACTTGAATTCCGGGCTATACATCCGGTCGATTAAGAAATTCGTTGCACTCGGTTTGATCTTGTTCACAGGATAGATTTAATAAAGAGTGAAAAGAGATGATTCTTCGAACGAAGGATCGCCTTAAGTGTTTTTTGACTGAATTTTGAGAAGAAGGTTGAAAAAGAAAAAGATTCAGGAAGCGAGGATGATCTATGAAGGAAGATTAATATTTATATTTCGGATAATGAATTTGTATCGAATCAATTTTTGGAAATGTAACTATTATGTACGTTAATGTTGTATTTATATAGTACTATTATATAATGTTTTGAACGAAATGATAATGCAGTCGATTTAAATTGGGTCAAGCTTGAAGAAACGAGAGAAGAAATTAAATAAATAATATGAGGTTTTTTATGATAAGATAGAATGATTTATTTTTAAATCGTGTATCAATCATGTTATCGATATATGCGAAAAATAAAAAGTAAAAACTACTGATTTATAATATTCTTTGTTAATGCTGTGAATATCGATCGCTTAATTATATCGATTGAATGAAAATATCATAAATTTATAAATAACAATATATAAATTTAATGAAAAAAAGAAATAAATAAATGATTTATAAAAAATTATTAAGATACGATACTTATAAATAATATATTATTTATATTACTTATATAATAGATACTTACAAAAAATTTGTTAAGATTTTAATTTTAAACAAAATAAATATTTTTTAAAATAAAAAAAATTTCAAATTCAAGTTTTATGAATCTAAGAATCGTTATTCAACCTATATTTAAGAAATATCATTCTTAAAATATTATTTTTACTTACAAAATTTCTCCAGATGATAGATCTAAAGACTTCAAACTTCTTGGTAGAATAAAATGAAAATTAAATATTTTTCAATCATTCACAGTCTTTACATACTCATACATACACGCGTACATAAACATACACACACACAAATAGCTACAGATATTCCATAATATTCCATAATATATTAATATAATATATCTATTAATGTATAATAATGAATGTATTAATATTGCTTTTACTTCAATCCCATTTTCTGTATATTTTATATTTTTCCATAGCATCCTTTAATGGGATCATTCTTATCTAACCTAAATCGCAAAGACAAAACTTTTACACAACGTAATCAACGTATATTGCGATTGAAAAAAAAAAGAGAGAAAAAACGAAAGAATGCACATTAATGTAACGTAATTAGAAACGTGCCTCGTACGTGTTATCGAGCGTGAATTTCATTTCGTCAGGGTTCGATACCGCGCAAAATTCAACGGACGCGATTAGTGGACGAACATTAACGTCCGTTTGTTAATTAATGCACGCTTCGTGCCCGCTGCGAACAATACGCACCGATTCAATTTCGACAGGGGACGAATTAACGGATCGACGACAACGTTCGATCGCGACGTCAACACACACCTTTTATTAATCACACTCCAACCTCTAGTTTTGTTAATTATTACCGGATACGATCGAAATAAACGGAACAACGTCAATGACAGCTGCGCCACCAAGCGTGGGATGAAGGAGAAGCGAGGTCCTGATCGATATTATATAATGAATATCGATCGTTCGAGATATCGATAGTTGTTGATAATAATTGATGGATTATTATCGAGAGATTATATATCGAGGGAACGAAATATATCTTTGAAAATTGTCACTAGATACTTTGAATATTGCTCGTGATTAAAAATGTCGGTGAGTAATAAAGGTTTATCAATATTTATTAAAATTTTATTATTTGTAATTATTTAGTTGTTGAGTTGGTATTGATTTATTCATAAAAATTTATATTTGAAGGTTATGAAAAGATAAATCTTTTGTATTTGTAAATCAAATGTTACATAACATTTTTTAACACTTTTAGAAATCGACATTTATGATCGATATCTATTGATCATAATAGTTTTTATTGATTTTAGTTTTTTCCTGTTCTCGTATATTTTCTGTAAATAAATATTATACTAGATTCGGTATCTATATTATAAATATTATACAAATAATTGCGTATTCGAATATTTTATCAACTATATTGTATATTATTCCGTTTTATGTAGGAAATATAGGAAATTAATTCTTGTATAAAAAAATTTAACACAAAGATAAAAAAGTTATTTCTTGAAAGCCATTATTAATTATTGACTTTTGTCAACACTTGTTCCACGAAACATATAAAAATTGATAAAAATGTATAAAAATTTATACTTATTTCAACATAACACAATATAAATTATAACCTATAAATGAAATATCATTAAAACTTCAATATTTTTCTTAACATTTAATTTTTTTGAATATCATCTATGCAAATATTGATCAATAATAGTCACATTTCCGTCACATAAATGCTCTGGCAATCACCACCTGTTATATCGTTCGCGAAATTACGAGATCCGGGATTATTAGCGATTCAACCGTCGAAAATTCGCCACGTGCCGTGGTTTCACCCTTCCTCTAGTTGACCGATCCCTCATTGACGAATTCTCCCTGATGACAAATCGCGTCGCACGTGCGACTAACTGATAGCGGCGCGAGTTTCTGTAATCCCCACGATTCCAAACCCATCGATGGCTGATTACCGAACGCGATTGCGTTCAGTTAATTAGTGCGTGGTGATTGTCAAGCTGCAGCCAGGATTTCCTATCAGTTCGAAATTTCGCCCCTATTGATTTTCCTTCAGTGATAAAATTCGTATATTTTTACTGGCAAAAGTTTTAAAGTGCAAATTGAATGACTATTTATCAATTATGATTAAAAATTATTAGATCCTAGTATGTGTGTTGCATTAAAATATAATAATTTTAAATTATTTTTCAGAAGTTATAAAAAGATCACGATCTAGAAAAGGATAAGAAGATTAGTTTGAAACCATCTTATCTAAAATAACTAAAAGGTAATGATAAAAATTTGTTAATAATATCATTGTTTCTTTGTCTTATACTAATGCAAATTATATTTTGAATCTAGGAAAGTTTACAACGAAGCAGAAATGTTATTTTAGTAAATAAACTTCCGGGATAACATTATAAAACGAAGATTGAGGTCATTCTGTTTGTTATATGAAACTAGAAGCTTACTTACACATTCTTTGATCGAATAAAATCAAACTTCCTTTGATAATATGATTGAAAATTGGATATTTGGTGTAAATTATTTTATTTTTTATTTTATATATTTTATAAATCTACATGATTCAACTCATGTTATTTTTAAATAAATAATGTTTTTATTTAATATTTTATTGAAACCAGATCTTTTAAATTTTATTTAGACAAATTTACAAATTCTTCATTGGATTCATCAAAAAAGTATATATAAATTTTATAAAAATAATGAAAGATTTAGTGAAAAGTTTTCCTGAAAAATTTCGAAAACAGAAATATGTAATAGGTTATGTTTCATATTTAGCAAAAAAAAAATACAACGATTGAATTTATGTAACGTTTTAAAAAATCAAGATATTTTATACTATTAACGTTACGATGGTCATTTCTTTATGGTGGATCCCCATCGTCATGGACCGAAGTACGCATGTTTAAAAATGACTTGTCATACGATTAAATTGTATACACATCGAAAGAGAAATTGGTTCAAATAAATAATCCGTCTGGAAGCGTTAAACAAACGAGATCTTGATCGTAAATCCTGGTGGCAGCATATCATTATTTATTTAAATAACAAATATTTTTATAAAGTTCTTCATGTTCGAACTTCAAAAATTCTTTTTCTTGTAACTTTAAGTTTTTTTCTTCTTTGAATTCTCTGAATAACTCTTTCTTGTACAACTATGTCATTATATCATTTCATATTCTATATAATTTTCATTTCACATTATATAATTCTATAATTTTTGTACATAAATTTAGTAATATAACAAATTTCAAAATAAATTTTCTAAAAAATAAATATATCAAAACGAGTTGTATCGTCGATTATCGCACGGTTAAATCATTTTTTCCGTGTGACAGGACACGTTACACACAGCGTGAGGGATGGGCGTCAAAGGAAGCAGCTAGTGACCTCGAGAAGCAACGTTTCTATTTAGGGCAGACGATAGACGATAAACTGTGCTCCAGGATGCAGCCTGATAGAAAGCGGCGCGTGCGATTTTATTCCATTGAGATAGATGGCCATTCATGTCCGCGACACAGTTCATTCTTATATATTTCAACTGCGTTGTTACGGATACGCATTTACATTTCTTGTTATCGATAAGATTTTGATTATTTGCAATGATATTTTTGCGAACAGTTATTATAATTTACGATTAAAAAAAGAAGATATTTGTCATATCTATCACATAATAAATTTCATCGATTCGATGTACTCGTGTCAAAATCACTATGTCAATATTCCATTAGTAAAAGTACATAAGTACCACATACATGCGTATGTATATGCACGTCAACTCAGATGCAAAGCATACGCAATAAACGTGCTAATGATTTTCGTTCCAATGCTAATGTACCTAACGTAAGTACACACGTACACGACAATTTCGATTAATTACCTCCTGACAAATTATTCCTGACACAATTAGCATCGTACAAGCGAATTCCAACGTGCACCACGTTCCGGTATCTTCATTGTGAATAACCTCAACGTTTCAGGAAACAGAAATCAACTAAAGATCAACGTAGTACCGTCTATCTGTAGGTTTAATTAATTTCGTGATGATTACCGACGTTTTCGGTTCGTTAATGTAATTGGGTCATTAGATAACGCTTTCGAAACTGTATCCGTGAGTATGGAACGGATGAATGACGCTGATTATACGCTGAAAATAAACGAAGGCAACAGAGAAAAAAGAAAAAAAATGAATCTCCATTGTCCGGCATCGCGATACATGGGTTGCAAAACGATGACAATACAAGGATAAAACGAGGATTACATTTTTTGCGATAAAAATTTAGAAATTATCATTGCATCAAAAAAGTGTATCGTGAGAGAAATGTATCGGTGGAACAAATAGATCCACGTTCAAGATGGCGTACAGCTATAATATCAAAGAGATACCGCCCGACGATGTTCCCATTGTGGAATACGATATACGACGAGCTAAAAAGTTTCTTCAAAAACACAGTCCAGAATCAGGTGATAGTCTGTAAGTTGACAAATTTGAAATATCGAATCCCTCGATTGAAAATAGTCGGCCGATCGTTAAACCGTGGAATATTGAGAAAAGAGAGAAAAAATAACCTATTTAAGAATGAATTTATTAAAACTTGGAAATGATAATTATTTCTTATTTTTTTCTTATAATTACGTTTCTTTTTTATATCCATGAATAATAAATTTTAAATAATGATATTGGAATGTATTATGATATCTTTTCTATTTCTGATATGTATATCATATGATATATGATATCATTGTATTTTTGCATTTTTTATCATAATTGAATTGACCGTGATACAATTTGTTGAATTGAATTTTATTCCAGAAATTGCACTTAGTAATTGAAATTCAGAAATAGTAATCACGATTCGCAAAGTTCTTTATACGCGCATAGCTATTTGTGGAAAACGTTAACGCGGTTATCAAAGCAGAAATGCCTCAAAATAATAATCATCTACTTTAGTATTCGATTTATTATTAATTACACACAACGATCCGAATAATTTCAAAATATATCCATTATTGTTGCTTCTATGAATTTAAAATAATAATAAGAAATTTTGTCGGATGTATTAATATGAAAATTGAAAATTTCAGATACGATCACTTGACGGAAGTGTTAGCTAAGATACTCACCGAGAGACCGAAAAACGCAGTAGATATTTTTGAGGAATTCAGCAGAAAAGTGAAAGAGGAGAGATTCAGAACCAAGTCCAGTCATCTTCGAGATGTGTACGTTCCACCGACTCAGTTCGAACATGCGAAAAAGATTATCAACTTGTTCAAGGTGCGAACAATCGGAAACAATTAATAATTAAATAGTCATTATTGTATAAATAATAACGCGATTTACCTGAGAAATTTAATCATTGTACACTTTTGTAATGTAATTACAGAAATTAGAGAAATTCTATGAAACTATGGGAGAAAAGATTGAAGAAGATATTGAGGAAGATGAAGATAAAAAAAGAAAATACCGAATATGTTAGATTTTTTGTTTTATTTTGAGCAGACTGGTATAGGACTACCTCGCAAAGAATTGGTGTTGCTTAATTTGTCTATAAGGGAACTCATGGCTGAAAATCCTATAGAAAATGTCAGGTATATACTAATGATTTTCATTGAAAAATCTTAAAATAATTCTATTTATATTTGATATAAGTTATACATTTTTTGAATGATGATTTGTATTAAAATTACTTTATTTTATTTTATTAATCTTTAAAGGAATGAATTTATTAAAACCAGAAAAAGAGTTATTCATTTAAAAAAAACAAAATAATATTTTTTCCAACTTTTAATAAATGTGATAAATATATCTTAAGATTTTTGAATAATAATATATATGCAATATAATATATATAAAATTTCTTAGTAGAAAAAATTATTTGAAAATTAATAATTTGATATGATAGATTTTGGGGAAAAATTCTCGGAATTCCGAAAAATTATTACGTAGTGGAAGCAGATTTACAACCAGAGGAACTAAATCTAAGAGTAGAGGTAAGAATAATTCGAAAACGAAAAAGAAAGGAACATCTCTATATTCTTTTTCCGTGATGAATTAAATGAATATTTATTCATTTTGATAATCTTTCAATTGTCTAGAAAATTTTTGTTCAGTAATTTTCTTGAATCGTTGACACAATCGTTAAAACAATACAACACGGAGAAAATGAATTTCAGAGTGAAAGAGAGCAAAAACACATTTTGAATCTCGTCCACGCGTCTGCAGAAAATGGCCGAAGAAGAAGAACAGAAACGTCAAGAGAAGCAAGCGAAAGCGGAAGAAGCGGCAAAAGCCGAAAAACAAGCTATTGAAGACATAGAAAGAGCGGCACAAGAAACGGGGAAAACAGAGGAAGAAGCGGCACCCGAGGGCTTGAAGCTCGTCTTTCCGCCTCTACCTATTCGTATATGGATACCACCACCGGAAGTACCTACAGAAAAACTTGGAACTGGCACAAATACCAAAGTATACTTCATAAAATTTTTTTAATGCAGAATCGAAGATAACAGAAATTAAAAAAGAAGTCATTATCAAAAGAAAGTGAAATTAATCACTTCATAAAAATGAATTTTAAAAAAATTAATTTTTTAGAAATAAATTTAAATCCAAAATTTTATGAGATTTCGAAACTCTTAAAATTCAAAATGTTCTGTTTTCTTTCTTTTTTTTTTTAAATATTATTTTATGAATTTTATATTATAATTATATAAATATTTTTTATGAATTAATATCTTTGAGAATTAAAATTTTAATAAGTTTCGATTTCTAAAGTGAATTTTAATGATTTTTAATTACATCAAAACAAAATTTTAGAAGGAATTAATTATTAATTAATTTTTTAAAATTCTATAAAATACATAAAAAATAAAAAAAATAAAAATTAATCTTTCTACTAATTTAATATTGGTAATAGATTCATAAATAAACAGAGAATATAAGGATAGTAATTGCATGTATTACTCTAATAAACGATTTCAGATAACGATATCATTAAACAACATTCAATTAATCGAAGTGAAATTGTATTGCACGTGTCGAAAACATCGACAGCACAAACATTCACGGTGCAATGTTCCATCGAATTAATATGCAACACAAAACACTGGACGTGTTTTCCTGAGCGTGATCCTAGTGGTCGACTTTGTTCCAGGTATATTTTGTATGCAACGAGCCCGGTTTGGACAAGTGGATCGAACTGCCACCGGTTACACCGCAGCAGATAGTAATTGCACGATCCATTGTTCGTTATTGCACAGGAAATTTGGAAACACCGGTAACGTATTCATTTTTTCATAAAAATAGAAAAAAAAATAAAAAAGGAAGGAAATAAAAGAAATATTTTAATTGGAAAACCACGATTATAATTCTTCGTTTTATAGATTCACACTTTCCCACCGTTCCCTGGTACAGAAAAGAATTATCTTCGTGCGCAAATAGCCAGGATTAGCTCGACTACCCAAGTTTCGCCGATTGGGTTCTACACTTTTGGCATAGGGGACGAGGAAGAAGAGGTAATGGAGGAAATGCCAGAAGGTAATACATTATGCTTTTATCTTGAAAAAAAATCAGAGAAGAGAGTACAATGCTATAAATTATTTGAAACGCTCGTTATTATGTTTTATTTATCGAGTAGTTTCTCTTAACCATTCTTAACGCTGGTTTTATTAATCATAAAATCATCATTTTTTTCTTTTAACTTAAGTTTCTTTACGTGCCATTTATTGCATTTAAAGGTGGAGTATTGTCCGAGAACGTGAATTACGATCCGTTACCTATTAAAGAGTTGATAGACCCTTCTATGTCAAACTGGTGTCATCATATGCCCTATATTTTGAAACAAGGTCGTGTTGAATGGTGGAGTCCACGAAAACAAGAAGTGAGTTTAATTAAGTAAAGAAATATTTTTTTTAATTCAACAAGAAAAAATTAGAATCGCAATTTTAATCTTTATTTTTCATGACTAAAAATTAAGTAAGTTTAATCAAATATTCTTAAAAAATGTAAATTTAAAAAAAATGTAGATATAATTTTGAATTATATTTGGATTTTTTCACATTAAACACATACATATATAGTTGTTACTTTTGAATTTCCGAAGAAAAATAAATTTTAATTCTTCAAAGCTATTATAAATGAAATTTTATTTCAAATGAATAATTATCTTAATATGATTTTCTTTGATAAAAAAGTTCTTAAAGCTCAAAACAATTCTTGGATTAAAGATAAATATTCGAATATCAAATATGAATGAGTATTAAATTTAACTAGATTATAGAAAAAATTTCACGAAATTAGGAACTTGAAGAAGAAATAGGTGAAGAAGAAGAGGAGGAAGAAGAAAAAGAAGACAAAGAGGTTGGACCTCCACTTTTGACACCTTTGTCGGAAGATGCTATAATGGATTCGATAATACCGTGGGGTACTTCATTATCTTCCCGTGTCCAACCTGATCAGGCGGTCGCATTAATTAGATCAAACATTTGGCCTGGAGCGTATGCCTTTGCCTCCGGAAGGTGCGTGTATTATAGACCCTATTCAATAATGATTTTCCATTAAGCAGACGTATCTATGATATTTATGTGACCGACGAGTATAAATTCCCCTTGGGATATCGAAGAAACAGCACGGCAAGCTCGAGAGCGAAGGGAAGGTTTTATCGTGGGACGAATCAACCGGGAAAAGAGGAATTATGGCGCGTTAAAGGAAAATTAATGCGCGGGAAATTACGCTAATGTTACTTTAATGGTGTCTCTCTACAGGCGTTGCGCTAACGTGTACATTGGTTGGGGTCACAAATACACGGCGTACAATTACAGCCCTCAGTCCATGCCACCTGTGCAGGATCAGTATAAAATGGGTCCTGAGATTATGGAAATTCAGGATCCTACCTTCGAACAAGAAGAAGCCTTTAGAATTGCTCGTTTGCCGCCTCCACCTGTTATACCGACAGGTAAAATGAATAAAAATAATTATACAAGGCAACTAACATTTTCTCTGTTTTATTTTTTATTATTTGATTATTTTTATTATTCATTTTCATAGAAGAAGAAGAAGAAGAAGCCATAGAAGAAGAAGAAGAAGAGGAAGAAGAAGACGAATAATATAATAGATAACTGCATTATCAAGGATTTTGGTTTGAATTTGTCAGTAAAATAGACGCGTTTATATATTTTTATAACTTTATCAATATTTAATTATTATTTCTAATCATATTTATCAAAAACTATTATTATAATGTAAATAAGTATTAGATATAAAATATAATATTATATATCATTCATTTAATTTAGTATATCGAAAAGATAATGTATAATTACAGATAGATTGTATCGCAAAAGAGAAGAGAGAATTAGAAAAGACGTGACATCTTACGGAATTTTGTATCACATATTTTAATATATCGATCTCAATCTGTGCGTCTTATGCCATCTAATATGATATAATCGTACTACTTGTATACTTGTATTGCTTTTCAATGGAATTAAAAAATATCAGTTTTAATTTTACAAATTTATGATATCAAAAATTATAAATTATTCAATTGGTTTAAACATAATCGAATCTATTTTTTAAAAAAATATAGAAAAATATCGAAGTGAATATCAATAATGTAAGTCAATAAAAGTGATATAAAAATGATAGTAAAAATAGAATTAACTTTTAAATTTTTATAACTCAAAACTAAAACGTAGCTTATGTTTTACATTTTTCTACTTTTTTAAACTTCTATTTTTATCAATTAGCAAATATTTAATTATTTGTTTTTAATTATTTTAACAATAACATATAATGTCTATGAAATCACTACATCTTCATTTTATTTATAAAAATAAATGTAACAAATCAAAAGAAATTAAATCTAATTGTTGTCTTAATTTTTCTTCTTGTTGCATGTTATCAAACCACCTAGATACATGTACATATTGAGCTTTCTCTTGATGACTTAATTCTCGCTGCAATAAGAAATAGGTCAAAGAGATTAAATTGATCTTTACAATCTACTAAGGATTCCTATGTTCTACTTATTTTACTTTTTATTACCATTATTGAATGTAGAGCATAATATAATGTAATATCAGCAATAGTTTTCTTTGTACCAGTTAAATATGTGTTATCCCTTAGTGCAATATTTAATTCCTATAAAATAAAATATAGTTTTTTAATTCATGTATTTTTGAAATATATTTTATATAAATCTAATCAAATTAGTATTTATTCTTAATGCAATTATATAAATAATTGGATTTGTGTTACCTGCAAGATTCTTTTCGCATTAGCGGGAGTATCAGCGTAATTGACACAGACAACTGCATATTCTAACCACTGACGTGATAATGCTTTCATTTCATTATCAATACCAAGTATATCAGGATACTTGGAATTTTCAATTAGAAATTGAATTATAGTACTAAACCCTTCTATTTTTTTATTTGATTCCTGTTCCATAGTAACAATTACCTATAAAATGATATAAAAATTAAATTAATTTCATTCTTTAATATAACTTATTTTCATAAAAAATTATTATTATTTACATTTTCTTGCATTTCCAGTGGTAATGGTGAGACATCTAAGTAATTTGAAATTCTTTCTAAACATTCTATGTTACATAAAACCATTGTTTTAAACTTTACACTTTCTCAATCTTCTTGTTTTTTTTACTAGTTGTGGAAATAACTTTTAGGTTATGTTATGTTTAGAAAGAGTACAATACTTTAAGCAACAATGTCGATGGATAAATTCGCATCACGCGAATTACATATATTCAATAATTTACTTTATTGCAAATATTTGTATGGAACATATAATTACATACACGAAATATTTCAACATTAGTTGGGTCTTTATTTCAAATATACAATTTAATTGTAACAGCTGTATAAAATTTGCGACTAACAATAATAGACATCATTTTTTTATTGTATTTTTTTAACATATTTAAAATTACAAATTACAAAATTAATTGACTTAGTTTAAGTACTTAGATCTAAGTCTTCCATCTCAAGAGAGAATTTGTTTTCAGATTATTATCAGAATCAGAAAAATATATTTTTATAAATTACATTAAACTACATAGCAAAGAAATACTAAAATCTATTAAATTATTTTTTTTATATCATGTTACAGTAGGAATGAATAATCAATTAATAAATAATTAATTTTTGAATAAATTTTTTTTCAATAGTGTTCCCATAGTTTGGCATTTAATTTCTGAATATTTTTAATATGAATTATTTTTTTCTTGTTGTATTATAGATTTTTATATATATTACATGTAATTTTCTTTCAATGTCTTTAACCAAATATAATATTAACATGATTTTATGGGAATTTTAATAAAATAAATCAGATAAAGAGACAACAAGAAAAAAATATTACAATATATTTATGTATTTTGTTTAATAATTCAGTCATAGTTATATCAATTAAATTGATTGATTTACACAGAATATGTCATACATGTATATACATGCAATAAATTAAATTGTATTATAGAAATATGAGAATATTTTTTTTTTAAAGTTTTTTATAAAGTTTTATAAAGTAAATTTATATATATAGGATTTTTAAAAATTGATTTCCAATAAAATGCTTTTTTTCTTATAAATGAATTTTTCTTACAAATATATAAAATACATATTTATGTTTCACATGAAAATTTTGTTAAGTATATTATAAAAAATCTTTTAAAATAACTTTTTTCGTATGTAAAATAATCATGAAATAAATTTCATTTGTCTATTATTAAAAAACAATTATAATCTTTTTCATAAAACAATTTTGCATAAGTACATATTTATCCATAAGTAAATATGTGATTTCACATAATCCAAGACATAAAAAAGTTATATGCAATTAAATGCAGGTACTCTTTTTTTTTGTAAGGTGCTCATTTAATATTTATCTATTTAAAAAAGTCTCTTTTCATATGAAAAAAGACTATGAACATTTCCTTCTTGCTGAGCAGAATGTGTTCTTCTTTCAAATTTTAATTCTCCACTATACATCATAGATCTTAAGGTAGAGAGAGATTTTGCTCCAATGTCTTGACATCCATGTTTAATACCACATAATAGGTAAGGTAAAAACTTTAAAACACTTCCTTTATCAACTATTGAACCACTAACACCTTGAGCTACTTTTAATTTGTCCATCTCATTATGAAAATACCTATCCATTGCTGATCCTTGTGCATCTTTTCTATTCATAGCTTCTAAGGAACCCATACCTCTATATTTTTTTAGACGGACACCATCGCTAAAAAAATATTCACCTGGTGCCTCTGAAGTACCAGCCAATAAAGATCCCATCATAACTGTACTAGCCCCTAAACTTAAGCCTTTAATAATATGCCCAATAGATTGAATACCTCCATCTGCTATAACAGGTACACCAAATTTTCTTGCATATTCTGCAACTTTATATACAGCAGTTGCTTGAGGTCTTCCCACAGCCATAACTTCTTGGGTAATACAAATAGAGCCACAACCCATCCCAACTCTTAGAGCATCAGCTCCAGCTTCTATAAGATTTTTAGCTTGCATAGTTGTTACAGCATTTCCTGCAATTACTTGCAATTCTGGATATTCTGATTTAATATATTTAATCATATCAATCTGATATTTAGAATTGCCTTGAGAAGAATCCAAAACAATTACATCAACACCAGCTACAGCAAGAAGTTGTAATCTCTGTTTGTCAGCATTGCGTGTACCAATAGCAGCACCAACTAATAATTGTTTGTTTTCATCTTTACTAGCATTTGGGTAATTACGATTTTTTTTCAAATCAGTTCTTGCCATTAAAGATACTAATTCTCCCTTTTCATTAACAATTGGAAGTTTTCCTTTTTTAGATTTTTCAAGAATTATATTTGCTTCTTGTAATGTTACACCAGCAGTTGCAGTAATTAAATTTTCTAATTTTGTCATTATTGTTTCTAATTTTATATATTGCTGATTTGTTGTACTTTCCAAAAAATCAATATCTCTGGATGTTACAATGCCTAATAATTTACCCCCAACTTTTCCAGTATTTGTAATAGGAATACCAGAAAAACCATGTTCAGCTTTTACATTTAGAACATCTTTGACTGTATGATTTGGTGATAAAACTACTGGATCTCTAATAAAACCATGTTTATATTTTTTTACCTAAAATCATAAGAGAAAAAATTATATAAAATTATTAATTTTAAATATAAATTCAAAATTTAAAAATTCAAAAAATTTTTATTTCAATTTTTATTTTTAATATAATAAATATGAAAAAAACGAGATTAATAAAAGTAATTCAATTAACTATAAAAAATTTTCTACAAAATTTTTAACAGAAAATGAATATTTACTATCAATCTATATATTGTCATTGATAACGATATTACTATTCGATAAATTAGAAACACAAGATCAAATAAAATGTATATTAATAAACGAGCGAATGCATTACAAAATTTTAAGTGCTATAAGTATTATTTCATATTAAACAAATAAAAATATTTAAATAAAAAAGAAATATACCTTATGTACTTCGTTGGCTTGATATTCGGGTGTACAATTGTGATGTATTATGCCAATTCCTCCACATAGAGCCATAGCTATAGCCATGTCGGATTCTGTAACTGTATCCATAGGAGAAGATACCAGCGGTGCTTTGATCATAATTTTCTTTGTCAACGGTGACAATAAATCAACTTCGTCGGCAGTAAAATCAATATAACCCGGTAAAATAATAAAATCATTGTAGGTAAGACCATCACCAGTAGTGAATAATTGTCCTGCTGAAAGTCCATCGTCCGGTAAGGGTACATCTGCCGGTTTTGTGTCACCGATCACATAGTCTGCCATCGTTTTTTTTCAATCGACGATTGTTTGTATTTTATGCCTCCGTAAAAAATTAGTTATATTTTAATTAATATATAACTACCGTATAACGAAGTTATACACACGCTTTTTCAACACAGATGTTAAAAATCGCGGGCTTTGTGTTAAACCGGAGATCTCCAGGCAAAATGACCGAAATCAACGTGCGCACAGTGCATTTATAGTTTACGTGAAACGTGTTTCCCCCTTTCGTCTAATGATGAGTACTATCGGCAACGATGTTTTACGAATATAGTCGAAAATGTCCGATTGTTTTAATTTGAATATATTTGGCATAAATAGAACTAACAATTAGAAAATTAAAAAAGATATATTGTAAATATTAAAGATATAATATAAACGGACAATATAATCTATAAACTAAAATATAAATATAATCTTCAAGTGAAATTTTAATTATAAATATGTAAAAAAAGAAACATTTACACATAGAATTAATTACAAAAATACTTGTTTAGTACAAAAATAAATACTAATCAATAGATAAAGAACAAACCATAATAAAATATTTTTAAACTTGCACACAGTGCGAGGATCATCGTTAATTTTATGCATTATTGGTACATTTCTTACATGCATGCTAAAAATTTTATAAAATTTTATAAAATTATAACATTCTTATTCATTTAAAATGAAAGTATTATAATTTCAATCATAATCTTACTGGATAGAAAAAAATTTGTTTCACACCATTAAAAATACCACCAAATGCTTCTTGAAATGAAGATAAAATATATTCCACTACCAGTTCCAAATAACTTAAATTTTCATAATTATCATATTCTTCGTAATAAAAATAGTCGTACAACATTGGTAAAAATATTATTAGAATATACATCATACCACCAAAAAAAACTAAAAATTAAAAAAAATTAAAAAAAATATTAAATATAATTAATTAATTAAGAAGGATCAAATTTAAATTAAATAAAATAAATACTTACTAATAGATTTAAGTTCTAAAAACTGTTTATCATTTTTATTTCCATTATATCTTAATTTATTAACTATAGGTTCGTTACTATTTAAATGTGAAATCTTTTTTGTATTAGAATTTTGTATACCATCTTTGTGATTTACTTTGATATTATCATTTATATATAATTGTTTTGTTTGCATAATATTTGATTCAAGATTTGAATCTCTGTATAAAAAATTATAAAAAAATAAGTTATTTTTTTTAAATATATAAATATACACATCATATGTATATTTATATAACTTACAATGCTTTATTTATGGCAGTAGAAAGAGCTGTACATTGTTGTAATGTTTGCAGTTCAGGATTAATTTTTAACTGATTTTTTAATTCTTTACCATATACTTCATTTGTTTTTCCCTGTTTTCCTTTTTCAGGTATACCCATTGTTAAATTATACGGATATTGCTGTTCAATACTGTTTGTGTTCTCTATTTTATGTCTCAATCTATTATAGTATTCCCAATAACTTTTATTTAATAATTCTTGGGTTTTTGGAGAAATTCTTTTTGATCTTTCAAATATATCATCTATATTTGATCTTGGAGATGTTTCATATTTGCAACGTTCTCTTTGCAAACATATTTTTGACAAACTTTTAGTAATATCTTGTCTTGAAATTATATGTTTGTTGTTTTGCAAATAATTATTTTCAATGAAATTTGAAACATTATCAATTTGCGTACACATATTTTGTTCGTGTACAGGAACAGGATTAAAGTGTTGACTCATTTTTCTTGCCTTATGATTACCGAATTTATGAATGTTTGTTTGATTACGTTTATATTTATTATATTGACAATTAGGCCATACTAAAGTATAATCAGAATCTATCAATGCTGAATGAGAATTCTTTTGAAAATAAGATTTAGCTTTTCTAGAAAATCTAGCTGATGCCTTTTTTTGTTTAAATGTAATATATGGTTCAGAATTGCGACAAAGTTTTCTGGTACATTCATTTTTTATACAAGGTAAATATTGCTCAGATTTATTTTTTCCTCTTGTTTCATAGATATTTGTTTTGTAATTTTGATATAAGGATTGATTTTGATTATTAATAATTATATTAGATTGAGGTATTGATTGAAAATATTCATTTTCTTTTGATAAATGATTTACTTGATTGTGATTTAAAACTGGAGTTTTAATATCATGTATAATATCAGTATTAATTTTATTAACTTTGTTTGTAAATTCATTTGCATCAATAAATTCTTTTTTCTGCATAAATTTTTTTGTAACCAATTCAGAATCTGTTGTTTCTTCACAAGTTGTATTGTATGTAATTTTTTTCATTTTTAAACATTGAAAAACATGATTATTTGTATTTTTTTTATTTATATTTGGAATATAATATTCAGAATCGCTAGATTCTTGTTGTGTATGTTGAATATTTAAGTTTGGCAATTTTTCAGAGGCAATTAGATTTTCTGAAAAATCTGGTTTAAAACAAGGTTTTCTATTTTCTTCAAGTACTTTATTTTGTATTAGCGTAGTATTTTTCTCTTCATAAATACTTGTTTCATCTGCATCTGAAAAACTATAATTTCAATGAATGGAAAATAAGAATTATAAATGTTTGTAAAATTATTACTGTTTATAAGAGATTTGCTTTCATTCTGATGTGCTTGATTTGGATGAATATGTTGTTCTGACTCTTTCTTCATTAAAATTTTAGTTTGATTCTTGTGTTCTAAATGATTTAAACATTGCTGTATTACATTACTTGTTCCTGTAGAAGATACTTGCATTGGTATGTTTTGATAAGTAAGAACTGGAAGTTGCACGTTATAGCATTGATTTACATATTCTTGAGGTACAGTGATTGTATCAACATGTATTGCATTTAAAGCATGTGATTGTAGTTTTTTGTCTAACACAAAAACCAACTGCCCATTATTTTCCTAAATACATTAAAATAATAAAGAAACTTATTCTGTTTTTTATATTTTTAATAAAATTAATTATAAAATATTAGAACATATACTTGCACTGGTAAAGAAGTAATATTGACTTGAGTATTTGCATCATTAACAGCTTGCAATTTTGATATGTGTTCAGAAGAATATAAATTTTTTACACATTTATTTTTTTCTATAATTTCATTTTCATTTCCATCTGAAATATTATCTTGTTTTTTTGATTCAAAATTATTTTTAGAATCTTTTTGTTCTAAAAGCAATTCCTTGTCAACGATAAACTTAATATTTTCTTCATGATTTTTTATTAATTCAGTTTTTTTTTCTTCATGAGATTTTTGTGCTTCTTGAATTTTAATTTGTTCTCTATATACATATTGTAATTTTTAAAAAATTATCAATATATAATTATGCAAAATATTATCAAAAAAAAAGATGTATACCTTTCAAATGTTAATTTTTCTATCTCTTTTGTATTTAAATCTTCTGTAGAAGTAATAATAGATTGATCATTTTTTTGTAATAATTCAGTTGATGTAACTTGATTTCTCTTAATATTTGTTACTCTATTTAAAAATATATAATATTATATTTATTTAAAATTCTATTTATTTTTTATTCTATTGTTTTAAATACTTTTTAAAACGAGGATCTGTGTAACCAGGAAATTTCTTCAAACTGTACATACTTGAAGCAGTTTTTTGATGATGAAAGGAAGAATATGCACTATCTTTAGTCACTGTAGACTTAGGAGATCTGTATTTTTAAATATATTTCTATTAATGTACATTTCATAAAATTTTATAATATTTTAATTCAATACTTACTGATTTAGAGGTGTTTGAACTATAGTACGACTCCTTCTAGGAGTTCCAGTTAATGTAACTATACATGGAGGTTCAATAGTATCATCAACATCATCAATTAATTTACGCTGCGGTATTTTAGGCCAAGAAGGATCGGCTGGTATACTAAAATAGTTTAAAATAAATTGATTTTTTGAAAAGAAAAAATATATTTTAATTTTACCGTAGTGATCCAGCATTGTTTTTCTGTGGAACTGGTATCAAATTTTCACTGTTTACTAAAGCAATATGTATCAATTAAATTGTCATTTGGAAAAAGTATTTTAATATCCTTACTTTTTATATGTAATTGTAGAGCATTTGCATTATCTTGATATGCCATATTGAAGCAGTCGTACATTTCAATACTTTCTACTTTTTTTAATACATTTGTAAAAGTATAATTTCTGAATTAATTATATAAATTATTAATATTAGAAAAAATACAAAAACTGTACAGGTTTAACGTTAATTTCATGTTCTACAAAGTAATAGGTCTATACTTCAAGTAGAATTATTCTTGTTTTCTTGCAGTCAAATGTTTTGAATATATACAATTATAAAAAAAAAACTTTTGTATTAAAACAAATGTTTTTATTCTTAATAATAATAATAATAATAATCTTTTGTACAAAAAGATCGAAGGTATTATCATAATCAGTCATTTTGTTTTATTAATGACAGATGTATTTATATAATATGTATATCATTCTAATCTTAATATTAAAATATTGTATGTACAATAAATATACAACTGTAGATGCAGGAACAATTAACTATGATCTACATCAGTATCTTAGAGCTTGATTTATATTACATTAAATTAAAGTATATTTGCGCACCATAATGATTATAATATCACAATATCAAGCTAATTATACACTTATGTAGGGACTTAATATTTTGCTTACAAAATATTACAATTTGATATAAGATTTATAATTTTATATTATTATATTATATATGTGTATGCATACTATATGTGCAAATTTAAAATCTGTGTGAATAATATAATAAATAATTTTTTTAGATGTTTCTCATTGAAACATAATAATAAAAAAAAATTCTATTTATTTTCTACTAAATACAGAACTTGTTAATATTGTTTTATACATAAACAAAATAATCAACATAGCAAAATATATTTTCTGTTTTTTATGAATAAATAAATTGATTACCAATGTTATGTTGTAATTAAAATATACTTTGACAAAGGAATGTATTAGTATAATTATTTTGACTAGATTTGAGAAAGATGATAGAAATATTATTTTTATCAAATATAAAAGTTGTATGCCATAAAATACATTGATGAATCTGGCCACCATATTTCTTAATATTATAGAATTTGAATTGGTCCAAAATCTAAATATAATTTCATTATAACGGTCTTATATCATTAAAATTGCAAATATCTCACTGGCATTGTCTTAAAATTTAGGGCATACTTCATTTTGAATAAGTACATAATATTTAACAAATATCTTTACATAACATACATTATGTCTTTTGAAAATCATAAATTAAATTTTTTATTTTTTATAATTCTTTTTATATAATATGAAAAATTGAGAAATATTTGAAAAAAATTATTAAAATAATACTTTTTAAAGAAAGAAATACTAATTATAATTATTATAATAATTATTATCAATTTTAAAATATATTAAAAAATATTACTGGTAAAATAAGTACTCTTTTGTTTTTTAGACTTTTTTATAGAACAAGTGTATGCAATTAATCTTCTGAAAAATCAAAATTGAAAATTTTACACAGAATTATTATTTTTATAAATTATTGCACATATAATTGAATAAAGATATAACATTAATGATAAAAAAATATCTTTAACATATTTATCACAAATTATATATGTATTATTTTGCATGAAATATTAGAATCTATTTTAAATTTATATATTATAATCTTCTAGAAATTGCAATGAATATAAAAGCTAAGTATAACTTTTAATATGTATGCATTGTAAAAAATATAAAAATTCTTTTAAAACAAGAAATCAAGCAATCAGCAAATCAATTAATATGAAAAACTTTTTTTAAGAAATATGATTAAATATTTTTCTATTTCAAGAAAAAATTTTTGAGTGCTCAGATAACATACATATTGAACAATGTACAATTATTGTCTGGCAGTATTGTAATACTCTGCACACAAATGAAATTGAATTTTTATAGCAAATTAATTTAGTAACATGTATGTTTTTATAAAAAAAAATTATTTTAGAATTCTTAACATTGATTATATAATGCTTCGTAAAAATGCTTTGTAACCAAATATGCATATATCATTCATTTTAAATTATATATAAAATTTGATTATTAAAGATATTCATATTAAGAAGACATATGTAGTACATTAGTACATTAATAACGTTTTATGCATATTGACGAAGCATTTGTTAGGTATAGAAATATACATACATAAAACACATTTATTACATATCTTTTCTCGTTATTGTCGAATTAAGCTTCGTGTTCGCCGCTATTTATTCCTATGAGCGATTCTGTTTGTTCTGCTTCAAGATCTGGTATTCTAAAATTGAAAATATTATTTTTTTTAAATTTATTAAAACTGAAGTTTATAGCAATATATATATTTTATTAATATACCTTATTGATCTATTTTTCCTGCAAATCCAAATATAAATTCTTTTTATTAAATCCATTACTGGATCCCAATTGTCATAATATGATAGAAGAGATACAGTCAGAAATGCCAATAGCATTGGAATGGTTCCTAGATAGAAAATACAAGGGTATTCGACTTTTTTTAATAAGACATCAGCTATCATTGACATTGGCATAAGTAAACTAACTGCCAAAGTCGCGATGAGAGATGACGTTAAAAAAAACCCCTACAAGTAGATATGAAATGAATATGATATATTGTATTAAATACAAATTAAATTCAACATTTTTTTTTTTTGTTACAAACATACCACAACCAAAGTACTTCACTTAAAACTGTACCAATCAAACCATTGATAATTAAAAATGTCCACTGATGAGTATCTGGCCATTCAAATTCTTCCCAATGGCCATAATGAAGAATAAAAAATACAGGCCATAGAAGTGTCAAATTAAAAAGTCCAACAAATCCAAAAAACATTGGAATATCCATCTTATCTTCATGATCTACTTTTCTCTTTAAAAACACTATATAAGCTGCATAAAAAAATGCACTGACTAGGGCCAATATTATGCCTGTAGGTATTCTACTAGTTTCTATAGTTAAATCTGAAAGACCAACTAGAACCTATTAAAAAAAAAAAAAAACAAAAAAAAAAAAAACAAAAAAACAAAAGAAATAGAAAAAATTTTTTTTTTGTGTCTTTTTTTCATGTTTTTTTATATATTGCTATATATAATTATACATACTAGTCCAAGAATGCTAATAGAGACAGCAACTAGTTTAGATAATGTAAACTTATCCCCACCATTACTAGGAAAAAATGCAGCAAGAAACAGAGTAAATAAACTAGAAGTTGATGTTAATACAGTTACAATTCCAGCTTCAGTTCTTGCTAATGATATTTGATAAGTATAATTTGCCATAAACCACTGTAATAAAATTGTTTTAAGTTTAAAATATAATATATAATTATAACATTAAGTTGATACTTACAAGTAAACAAAACATAAGTGCAATTTTAGCAACTTTTTGGACAGAAAATTTATTGGCTTGTCGTCTTGCATGTTCTCCAGCTCTTAAGCTTGCTTGATAACTAAGTCTTGCTAATAATGCTTCTGTGGCATCACTTTCTGACATATGACGAACTTCTGCTAATTTACTAAATCTTACTGAACGTATTGATGAATCATCACTCTCTGTACCTGAAGAACGATCACAATGATCCGATGTTTTTATTGGAACAAATGTTGGGTCACTCTACAATTACAAAAATTTTAATTAATATTTGTTATATAAAATATTAATGATATATTAAAATAATTTACAAGACAGAAAAATACTATAAAAATAATAAAAATAATAATTTCTGTTTACCAAACTTGTGTTGGCTTCTGAGTAGAAGTTATCATCTTCTACATTAGGATCTATAAACTGAAATAAAAAAATGAAATAATAACTAACAATTTTATTTTATTAATAAAATTATTTGCATTTAAATGTACCATATATGTTGCTGGTTTATTGCACTGATCTCTCCATGGAGGCCAAAAACATAAACCAAGTAAATAGAATGTAAACATTGATGTTTTCACATATGTACTAAAAAATGGTTTTTCAAATGCTGCTTCTCTGTAAATATACTAAAATATAAAGATCATTATAAAAAATTATAATTTATAATTAATTTAAATATAATATTTGAATAAATCTTACTTTAGTAAGTTCAGAACTAGAAACCCAAATGATATCAACTAACAATAAAACTAACAGGCCCAACACAAGTCTTTGAGATTTATTCATCATTGCTGCAAGTTTATGAGGATCCTCCGCCATCCCCTGTTGTCTACGCTGTCTTAATTCTACAGAGCAGCTCATGATATATCCAATTTCTTTTATAATTATGACATTATGATGATACTGATCACTGTAAAATTATAATATAATTAAAAAAAATTATAAATTACAATAATAAACATATCTAAAAAATATAAATTATATAAAATAGAAAGTTAATATTAAATAATTAAGTTCTGTATATATTAATTAATTTAATTAACAAATTTTGCCTAAAAAATTTCTAAAAAATATAGATAAACTTAATATTATAAAACTTAAAACATAGAATCTACAATGAAATGGAAATAAAATGCATAAAACATAATTTGTATGATAATTATAAATCAATTAAATATGTGCTAGGAAAAATAGGAATACAAAACAAAGGATTAAAAAGGAGGACAAAAAAACAATGTTTCAAGGTTTCACTAATTTAATTGTCTTATTTTAGCTACAAGTTCATATCTGATCATGTTCAATATAATGCAATATAAATAGTAAGTATATTTAAAAAAATTTTTTTTATAATTGATAACAAGTGGACATGCGGCAAATATAAAATTGTAATACATAAGATAACCTATAAAAGTTGCAATAATAATAAATAACAATGTTTTATTATATTAATACAAAAATTAAAAGAAGAACTTGACTCACAATTAAAAACAACCTTTAAATTTGTAGTACTGGTAACTAATTTATATTCTAATTTTTCTTCTACATGTTAGAAATATAAAATGATAAACTTTCTATGCTCCCTAACTAAACACTCAAATAACACTATTCACACGTTAATATACAATTTAGATATTTGATTTTTTAATATATAACTTTTTTTCTATATTTTTCTAACTTAAATTTAAGATTGTTTTAATGTTTCCGTTTCGTTATCGCGTCGGAACAACTAGCTGTAACCATGTTGATATGACGTTCCGTAGTTCTATTATCGTTCCAATGGCGCTACATGTCACATGAAGAATAGAATACATCTTTTAATGTATTATTTATTTAATTTTAATTTCAATAATATATGTAATATTGATTTCTATTATTTTAAAATTATTTTCATAATTTCCCAACTAAGATTTTTGTTTGATAATTATTTTTTTTAACATATAATCGTTATACTAAAATGTTTTTTGGTTACCGCTATATATGTATTCTTTTTATAGATGACATAAATAAATAATAAAGATAAATTTTGTATTTATATCTTAATATTAATTTCTAATTTTATTTTATATGTTAATTTAGAACAAAGAAATAAGATCAATTGAATAATTGATGAATTATATTTCAATGTTATAATTATGATATTATCTTAAAAAGGTAAATTATTTTTTTTTTTAATCTAAAGATTAAGAAATTGTCTATACATAAAATTATATTATATCTTACAATGATTCTTTGTGAAGAAGACTTAAAACAAGGGTTGTCATGACAAATACCAGCAACAACACACAAGTGAATCTGTCATTTGATGTGAAATATATTCACGGATTATTACTTTTGTGTATTAATAATGACTAACAATATTTTCAGTAATGGCCGCATTCAACAACAGACGATTGTTTCGCAGCGTTTAAGAAATGATAAAGGAAAAAAAGGTGTTTTTGTTCATTTTATATTATTTATTTATAAAATATACATATATATATCCAAAATTGTTGTTATATCATTGTCAAATATTAATAAATACATACATATTCAATGAATATTAAATCATAGTTAAAAAAATAGGAATACTTGAACAAAAATACTAAAATTAAGATTTGAAATTCTACGATACTATATAAAATAAAACAAATTTTCTGTGAATAGTTATCGTAATTTCTATTTCCTGTTCGAAAAGATAATTATTTTACAAAAAATATGTTTTTTTAGTTTAAATTAAAAAATATATACACTAATTCTATTATTATTTTAAATAGATAGTATGTCAATGTATTTTTTTTATGACGTAATTCGATATTATATTTTGTATTAAATTAGCACCAGAAATATCAGCAATAGAGAGCAACAATTGGTTGTTGCATCGACATTATACGCGACATGAATACAAAACTTGTAAAATATTAATTGATCAAGAATTAACAAAATCAAACGGACATAATGAATATGCGAATTATTTAAAAGTAAGCAAAATTTTTACATAATCAATCATTTTTAATATTCAAAAAATTAATATTCAAGAAATATCGAAATCAATTAATTTTTTCATAGGGTTTAATACTAAGAAGAGAAGGAAAAATTCAAGATTCGTTGAACTATTTTCAAGCTGCTTACAACATCAATTCAACGAATATTAATAACGTGAAGCAGATAGCCAAATCATTGTAAGTAAGAAAAATATCGGATCTAATAAATATTATTCAATAAATATTATTATATATATCCATATATATCTATATATAATTTTATAGTTATAACACTCTTAAGATATTGAATAATATTATCCAATTTAATTTATATTGTAATATAAAAATATCTGTTGTTTTAAATTCAAATAAAATGATTTTATACAAGGATTTTTTTTATATTAAATGACATTATATGATATATATATGTTTATATATATTTTAATGTATTTTACGTTTATAAATTTACTAATAAATTTTAGTTTCAAGAATAATATATAAGAAAAGAAATCAAATTAATAAAAATATAAATATTATTTATAATTATCATATCGTATGTATCATATTTTTGCGGAGGATATAAAAAGCAAATATTAATTTTTTATATCAATAATTAATACCATATAATTTGACAGTTTGATAATGGGCAATCACAAACGTGCAATTGACGGGTATTTGGAAGCTGAAAAAATATCGAATATACCAGATTGGGAGATTTATTTTAATTTAGGCATGTATTAAATTTTTTCATCAAACTTTTTAAATATAAATATATAAAAATTGAATATTAGTAATATAATAGGAAAAATATTAAATTTCTAAGTTTTAATTGCTAGTTTTTATTTTTTAGGCGAATGTTACATGAAATTGAATCAGGTATACGAAGCAAAAAAATATTTGAAAAGATCGATCGAATTAACGAAAAATGAACTTCCTTATATTGCACTTGCCAAACTTTGTCTCTTCGAAAATCATATTACAGAGGCACAGAACGCTTACACAACTGCTCTTAGGTATTATATATTTATTTTTTATTTTAATATATTTTATGATGAACATTTCATCTTATTTCACAAACATCTTGCGCGTGCAGATTTAATTCCAGCGTTGCGAGATTATTGTCTCGAATGTTCTTGTTTACGATGTAATACTTCAGAGTATTATGTTCTACCTCTTATTGCAAATTCTAACTATAGATTCCAGATTTAAAAAATACAAAGTTAACAAAAACGACGCAAAATAATAATTTATCATTGATTAACATGTTACCTTTTTTCGTATATTTGAAACATACTAATTGAATAAAGATTTATATAAAAATTTTATAAAAATTCACTGTGCGCAAAATTTTTAAAAATATTGTCACTTTTCTTTTATTGAAATATATTAAAAATTATATCACTTCATTTTTTTTCTTTAAACAATTATATAATATTTTTTTTATAATTTTATTATTTTGATTAATTTGTGCTTTTCTTCAAATATGATTAGATAAAAGTTAATAAAAGAAATTATTTTAAATTCAAAAATTATAAAATACCATAATTTTTTATTCCGCTAAAAGAAGATTCTGAAATATTCGGATGACTCGATTCTAAAAATTGATTAGATTATCGAGAGATAAAAATATCTTTTTGAGAAATTTTATCTACGGATAATCATAAAAATTTATCTCATTTCTTGGTTCTTTTAGCGAGAATCCTGAAAGTATAGAAGCTGCAACCAAATTAGGGCTGCTCTATCTTAAAATTGGTGATGTTCAACGAGCATTCCAACAATTTGGTACTGCAATCGCCCATTCTCCAAATTATACTAAGGCAATTCTTCCAATAGCTTACATAATCCAAGTAAATGTATTTCTATATATTTTTAAATATATCAATTATGATGTTACTTCGAATGTGGAATTTTTTCTATATTAAACAATTCATTTTAAGATTTTTATTTCTCTTATCTTTACTTTCTTATCTTTATTTAAGATAAAACATTTATTTCTTAAATATTATGTTAAAGTTTAAACAAAAAGGATTTGACGATAAAAGTTCTGTTTTATTAAGGAACGTGATAAAAGAACTTAATTGAGAATCTTCTTTGCACATCTTTTGCATATTTATAAATAACAAACTTGATTATAGATAGAAAATTTAGATTTATAAAGTATTTTTCTATTGAAAAGAAATTTTCTTTCAATTTCCTTTCGTTTATCTATAATTTATTCGTCTTTACACTGGCATGAATAAAGATGTGAAACGAAATTAGTTTTTACAGAGCAAAGCTCATGTAAAGCATGTACAATATTTCAATAATACTTTTTAAGAATTTAATTAAAGATAGGTGCTTTAAAATTTATTTTATTTGACAATTAATACATTCATTATACTTTTCAGAGTCACCAAGAATATGATGTTGCATTGTCGAAGTATAAACAAGCAGCGCAATCAATTCCAGAATCGTATGCCTTATGGAATAATGTCGGAATGTGTTTTTACGGCAAGCAGAAATTCGTTGCTGTAAGTATATTTGTATAAATTTACTTTGTTTGCACAATCCTTATTTTGTTATATTAAGAGTCATATTTGTAATATAATTTAAGTTACTAAAGCTTGAAAAGCTTTAAGAAAATTCACACCATAGCAAAAAAAAATTACAACATTTAATAATATAACATTATGACAAATTGTCTATATTGTTCAAATACAATTCACAATGTTTCTAAAAATTAAAAAAGAAGAAATTGCAACTTTTTTCTTGAAAATATAATAAATTGCGAATTAATATCAATTTTATTTCGATATATTTCTATATATATTACCGAATTTAATGATGATAATTAATTAAAGAGGATGATACTTGTACTAGGCGGAGTTTCAGAATAGTGACTAGGTCGCACTTGCGATCCAAAAGAACTTAATTAAAGACTTGCAATGCAGCCGTTGTAATTGAAGCGAGAGAAAATCAATGAATGAAAATAATGTGCTGAATTATTTACTAATGCAGAAACTTGGACTGCTATCGAGAAAGCAACTAAATATATATCATGAGAAATTCGATTTAATATCAATAATCGAGAAAGAAATATATTTTTCATTTCTTCAGAAAGAAAATTTGTTTAACATGATACAAAAAAAAAAAAAAGATTAAAATATATCACATGGTTCAAAATATAAGAATTCATTTCTTTTTTAATATAACTCAACAAAAGGTTGGAGAAGCAATATCTATCACGACAAGTCTTTTCATTCCAACTATTTTAACACAGAGAGAAATTCTCTTTTTTATTTTTTTATCGAGTAGTACTACGATAAATAGAATTAATCTGCAAATATTATTAAATATTTTTTTCCCAATAATACAGAATTTTGCACTTAAAATCCAAGAAATGTACATGAAACAGAAATTTTTTAATTTACTTCGCCGTTATCGTAGTTGAATGCACTCAAATTTTGGAATTAAATGAATCAAATTAGATTAATAAATTCTTAATTTTAACTACCTTATTGTCGATAAAAAAATGAATTTCTTTCGATGTAGAAGAAAGAATTGTTTTTCTCGATTGAATGATTAATAATCGAATATTTATTTTATCGTGCTTTGATCAATTTTGAATTACTAATTCGATTTCCAATTTTGATAATTGATTTTCGTTATTATATTATCATCCATATCACTCTATAATGTATATTATAATTATCATTTGTTTTGTATAATATCTGCTTCGCATGATTTACTTATGCACTTGTTGTTCATTGATCGTAAAACCGTAATTGTCCAACAAATCGGTTTAACGCTCTGATTATTTCCAGGCTATTAGTTGTTTGAAGAGAGCTCATTATCTCAATTCCATGGCTTTTTTACCCGCTTATAATTTGGGTATGGTTTTTTTGACTACCGGTCAACCAGCCTCGGCCGCAATTTATTTGTGCGCTGCGATTACCGCTGATCCAAAAAATTCAATGCCGTATCTCCTACTTGGAAGTAAGGTTTCTTTTATATATATAATTTCTTTGGAAAGCATTTCAACTCTTAATTAGAAAAGATATTAGAAAGGAAAAGAAAAGATCAATTCTAAAGTAGAGAATAGTTAACAATAGGATAAAATTCTTTGAAAAAGAAACATACATTATCTTATTCTGTAAATATCCTATGGCAAATAGATAAATGTAGATTTGCATGATGTGTACATATCAGAACAGCTAGAATAGAACTTAAAGTCTAGGCCTTCGATTTCAAATTGATCTTATTTAATTTAATGATTCATCCTTTATCTTTACATTTTTCAAATGTTTTCTTAATGTAAAAATTCTTCTTAGTGTAGTAATAACAAATGTCCATATAACGTTATTTTTGCAATGATAAAAGATAACGATAAAAGATATATACTGTATCGAGTATAAGAAATTTTAACCATATCCATTCCTCTTTTTTTTTCCTTGTCACTCGGCGTAACAATGAACCATAATAAAAACGGCTGAATCGTTTCTTGCAGTCGCTCTGAAACGTCTAGACGACTTGGAAGGTGCGGAGAAAGTATTGCAAAAAGCTCATGCTCTTTCACCGCAAGATCCCTTCGTGTTAATTAATTATGCGGTAATATTGGAGGCGCAGAGTAAGGGGAATATGGCGGCTGAACTTCTGTCTGCGTTGAATGATATTACGGCAGTGATTGACGTGGACGCGCAGGCAAGTATTTTATTTTCGACATCGGGGAGAAATGAAAATTGTTTCGCGTTAATATCTTGTCTATATTTGCTGTGATAGATAACGCAGACGGCAAAGAAATTGTCGATGAAGCTTCAGCAGGAAAGAGTAAACGGTAAAGAAGAGGAGGAGTCGAGGGTACTCAACTCGGACGAAGTTTAAAACGGATTATCTGCTTCTTGAAATCAAAGGCCTTGCTCTAAAAAGCATATTTAATCTCTCGTGTGTATCAAATTTTCCATAATTTTTACTTTAGACGTGGGTATTATGAATTAATATAATTATAATTCTACAAAAGAATAGATTTGTAGACAACAGAGACGTAAATAACAGTGATATTGCGAATAATGAAAATGGAAATAACGAAGGAATACAAATTAAAAAGAACGAAACCAAGGAAGAAATCAAGAAAATTGAAGGTATAAAAATATGAATTTATCACTTCACCCAAGAAGTTTCAAATTTTAAAACGAAGGTTTTTACAAATGACGAAAATAATTTTATCCTGTATCAAGTACATTTCTCTACGAATAGACTACGTTTCTTCTTTTTTCTTATTCATTATCTACTGAATACCTTGTCGCTTATTTTTGCTCGTTTAACATTCCACGTGTCAAGGAGAGCCAGTTTCCTCGTTAAGTTTTTTCGAATAACGGAAACATTAACTCGTAGTACTTATAATCCCTACGGGCACCGTTTTAAAAGTATCAAGGATTAACGAAGAGTCGATACTGGAAAATTATGCAAAAGAAGAAGATATTGCAATATCGAGTTCGAGTTAATTCAAAAATCGTTTAAAAATTATTAACGATTATTGTTATTAATGACTTGTCGTTAAGAATTATCAGGTTATCTTTTGACTTATCTTTTATCAAACTTCACCTTCACCTTTCCTCCTTTATAAGGAATTATTCTGTAACATTTTTATTGAACCGAGCAATACGGAAATGAGCATATTAAGGAAGTAATTGAACTACGTCCTTGTAAATTACTTATGCAAGACAAATGATAAGTTATTTTTCTTTGAACGATTTGTCACGTGCGATATCGAGTTTCCACAGTTAGTGTGGGAAACGAGCGTGTATCTTGATTAAAAGTTCGAACAACTTTTTCCTCCGAGCCATAATTCTTGGATTCGTCCAAGTTGCATTTTTGAATCGCTTCGTTAATGTTCATTTCCATGCTCATCCGTGCATTAAGTCGAAACGCTGCAAGCTTGAAAATTTTGGAATTTCTTTTTGATTTTCACACATACACATATGACGTAGAGCAAACAATATAACGCTTGGAATATTTCGCTCGTTTGACTTTCTTCCTGGAAATGGAAGAATAAAAAAAAGACCACCCCTTGATTTTTGAATCGTATCGTTGAAAGAGAATTTTACGAGCGTATATAAAATATATTTTATATAATAAATTTTTATCGTATTTTATATTTTTATTCGAAAAAATGAAATCTTTGAATTTTCAAGAAATTAATTTAATATTATTAAGTTGTAATCCTACTAAATTTAATTGAACAATGATGTCCTTAATTAAATTATCTTTAATGTTCAAAGTGATATATTGAAGTATTATAATGCTTTATGATTCTTTTACACATACCTCCCGTAGAAAGATTTATTTTAATGGAATTTCTTAACACAAATCCTTTAATTATTCTTTTCGTGCAAATAATCTCCAAAAGATCGTTTAAAACAAAGGGTTGATTAAAGCCGAGTCCAAGCATTTTTCTTTTTTTCATCCTCCTTTTCTCTTCTTTTTCTTCTCTTCTTAAGACTCGTTATCATTACAATATTATCCCTCATTATCACACAAGAGTCATACTTCTTCATTTAATGAATACAAAATACAACTGATTATTCAAAATGTAATATATTCTTTTGAAATTGTTCTAGAGAATCAACATATCATTACATAATTATAACGATGTTATTGAAACATTCTGATGTTCATTTAAATGGAATTTCGTTCGTTAATTCAAAAATTGTTTGATATCTCTATATGATAAGAGTTTAGAGGAAAAGGTAGCGTATGCAATTTGATCCAATACGAATAATTAATTGAAATCCTTTCGATGATAGATGTGTACGATGAAAGACGAACGTTATATTTGCAAGTGCTTCTCTCGTTACAAGTTGAGAGGGAACTCAATTAGAAAAGGCGACACAGAACGGAGCAATCTCTGCGAGATACGAGGAAAACCAATGAATTCTCCTTCAATCCGATAAATAATGCACTGTACAGTTCTGATATGTACACGAAGAACGTTAGTTTAAATATAATTCAAGATGTACAAGGTGTCTTCATCATTTTCAATATTTTTCTCGAAAATGACGAATAACTTTTGTAAACAGATAAATCGTGATCAATCGTGTCGTGTTATACGAATAATATTTTTTATTTCTCGTTGAAAAGTATAACGTCTCTGAATAGATCGAATAAATAATATTTTACGTGACGAGTGAACTCGAGTATCGAGTTGCGAAGTGAACAAATGATGTAAAGTGATGAAAGAATGATGCAGAGTAATGATGTAGAATGGAAGGAATTTTTAGAACTGCGAACCAAACGTGTACGTAACTGAGAATTTTACATGGTAAAAGTACTTTTGTAGTTTCAGAATAACTGACGATTTTATTTTCATTTTCTTTTACATCACCATTTCGAAGCTGAAAATCTGAGGAAAGAAAAAGACATCGCATTCTGTTCTCTTACATGATTTATTTTTCTATCTGTACCAATCATTTTATTCATATTTTATTATATTATATAATTTACAAGAAATATTAAACATAATTAAAGAAATTAATAAATTCTTAAAAATTAAGAATAGCTAAAATATTGTTAATCGAATGTAAATATAAGGGAATGATTGAAAGAAACGAATGAAGAAAAAATTATGAAGAAAATAGAAAGATAACAAAATTTTTTTACGAGTTGTTCCAACATCAGCCTTTTCAAAAATGAAATTTCTATTCCATTTACTTTAAAAATGTATTTGAAACGAAAAAAAAAAAAGAAAAGTAAATCTCGCATTTTGCCTTCTAGAAAATTTCAATCATGCATTTGGAAACATGCTTTTCCTTGATATATGGAATAAAATGAACTGAGAAATCAGAATGTATATTTTTGAAGAGATTCAATTCTTAGGGATATTAATTTTTTCGTACGTTCTCGATGAAAATCTTCACGAAAAAAAAGAGGAAAATTCAGGATTGAATTCAGTTATCATAGTTTTATGAAAGAAAACATTAGTAAAATTAAAATGGAAATTGTCAAATTGTCTGATAGAAATAAAATCTCTCATCATGAATTTGTGAATCTTTCCGTTTTAATATAGTGATTCATTAATATTCATATCGGATCCAAACGTTCTCAAATTACATTATTTTAAAATTACTTTTTCAAAGTAATTTTATACAAATTTTTATTCAAAGTTTATTTGAATAATACAAATATTTCACGGGAAGTGTTTTATGTGAAAAGTAAATATATTTGCAATTAAATTTATTTGGTGTAATTGAAATATGATACTATTTGCTATTTGTTAAACTATTCTTACATAATTATTATTACATTTATAATTATTTATAATTATTTTAAATGTTATTGATTTTTCAAATAATCATATTATTAAATAGTTCAATTTATCAACTTTCTAATAAATATTCATTATGATTTAAATTATTTTAATTGATCGTACGAAGAATATAACGTTAATTGAAATACAATTAACAATTATAAATTATAAATTATTATTTTTAATCTATAAATAAATTTCGCCCAAATCTAATTCATATTCAGGAGGATGAGATCGATGATTTACATAATTGTACACCTTCGTGCATGAATATAATATAGTTTCCACCATGATTTTGATTATACCAGTTGCTACATTCTGAACATGACACGCGATACGTTTATATACGGCAAGTGGGTGTAAAATAGATTTAACATTTGATTACGTACTTTCAAATGATTAATCGTTCAGGTGTCACGAATGGTCAACAAATTCGATTCCCTTTGATTCCCCACCGATTAGAATTTTTTCCTCTTTTTGTTTTCGATTGTAATAGGAGACCGTTTGTGGTATGACAACTGTTTGATCGGACAATTTTCAGACCAGAATATCGTAGAACGATAAGAAATTTTTAATTTAAAGCGACACAAAGATTTCACGATATTTCCTCTCAGCTGAGATATTTTCATTAGATCTCGTATTCGTCTTCTAAAGGTAGAGATTTCAAAGAGAGAATTCCCGATAAAGCTCGATATTAACTCGGCCAGCGAGAACGTTTAAACATTGAAAAGAATAGAAAATTCATTTTATGAAAAGAAACATAGCCAAGTTATTGCTATTTTATTATTTGTTTCGCACGTATATAAAATCTAACAAAAGATAATATACCATAAATATATACTTTCAATTTCAATGGATTATTTGGATATACTTGCTGTACTCACGTGTTATACTCACGAAGTGGGAAAAGGGATACGATGAAAAAAAGTAAAACGATTAATACAGAAACAGTTTATTCATAATCTATAAATAATTTCTCGTTTAGAAACGGAAAGGATAGATTTTCAGCCGGGCTCAATAGCTAAAAATCCATCGGTCCTCTGTTTCTCATAGAAAAAAAAAAAAATCATACGAGAAGGAACAATTATCGCTGCTAACTTTTCTCGATCACGTATTTACAAATTTCATTTACATTTAAATAATTATAATAGCCTTAATATTAATATTAGCGTTATACTTATATTTACGAGTAATTGTATTACTTGAGAATATATTTGAACATCGGTGTACGTAAACGTTTTACTTGCATAATCTTACATTTATGCAACTCGTAATGATCGTTCGTTGTCGAGTGTCCATCATTAACGCAACATCGTCTCCTTTCCTATCACGATGTATCGAACGAAGCTCTCCAACGATTTACAAATGAGCTTATACGTACAATTTCAGCGATATCTAAATTTACACGAAAATACGTCACGCAATAGTGTGTATTAATAAATTACACGAATATTGTTGACACGAATAACGAAAGCAAGAGAGAAATAAACGTTGATAAATCTGCTCGTTTACTTTCATCTTCCTATAACGATTATTAATATTAATTTTAACAATCAACATTCGCGCGATCGTTTCCCACAATAACGTTAACGTTATGATGTTATTTTTGATGATACAAAAGGAAAAGAAGAAAGAATATCGAAAAATAATGAGTCCAATATTTCCGCTACAAAATTTTCGATTAAACTTGAGCACGGATCAAGCTTATATTTCTCTTATACGAGATCAAGTTTATCTTTTTTAACAGACCTGTCGATATAACGATAGGTCGAAACTTAAAGGAAAGTTCAATTGGCTGTGAGATTGCAAACTCGAAGGCAGGGTTCAAACTTTAAGCGTTTGTTTTTGCGAGAACAAATCCTATTATTCATTGCACCATTGAAATCCAACCTCCTGTCTCACGTATTTTATTTTCTCTCCGCGTTTTCCTATTAAGAACATATCGTTTCTCGTTAAAAAAAAAGGAACATTTTGTATTTTTATTAAATTCAATCAATTATTTGAGAAACACGATAAAATGAAACGCGAAGAAAGAGGATTAATATAATTCGATATTTTTCGTTATTACGCATTTGCAAGAATTTCGATGACATGAAGCAACAACAAGGTGGAGTTTAAAACAGCAAATCAATCGATTCCATCTTCCTCTTAAAGATATTAAAAATGTATTATATCATGAACACCACTCGGGGTGGATCACATTATGAAGAAAAGCTTACACTCCACCCTATCTATCTACTGTGTATGATTCAAATCTACATTTCCATCTTCATTATTCTCTGTTACGTTACCAATTTCCATAGGATAAGATAATAATTACTCAAGAGATAATACTGCAGATCTCTCTAAAGACGCGTGGTCTCTAGACCTTTCAGCCTGCATCATACGTAAGTGCTTTGCACGTCCGTTTGTTGCGTGGCCGGCTGCCATTTCTTCATGATCCTCGGTTTGAACAGCTGGCCGAAAGTGGTACGGAATTGCCTGGACATGGAGCAATAGAGGATGAAATTGATGGCGCCATTTAACAAGGCGAGAATGTCCATCACCTCGCCGAAATTATGGTAGCAATTACGGAAGAAGCAATCGCCTAGAACACCGGATAGGAGGCCCAGGATACCCTGAGGTATCTCCGTGACCAGGAATAGGAGCAACACTGCGACCAGCATCTTGGTCGTCCTATCCGCTCTCCTCTCGGATTTGCTCGGCCTTTTTGGGATCAAACCGTTACCCATTACAGCGATGTTTTTGCACTGGTTGTAACTCTTCAAAGCCTGCTTCCTCCCTTTCGCCCTGGAACATGATATTCGCCTTCGATATTAATTAATTTCTTTTTTATTCTTTGTTGTTATTATTACTTCTTTTTTATGGATATTTCTCGAACTTTTATGGTTTTTTATTTTGTGTAATTAATCGTCGAATCGAGCTATTTTTTGTCGTTATTGTGGTTAATTGAATGACTTTTACACGATGAAAACATAGTTTCAAGGAATAAAAGAGGGTAGAACAAATAAAGTATCGACGAATTTTAATTTGTTATAAGTGATAACGTATAATTCATTCTGATCTATATTTGTAAAAATATACCTGTAAAGAGCTTTTATCAACCAACAGCTAATAACGGTGAGAATGACGCAGGGTAAAAGTTTCACCACCACCCCTAGTATCCAGAAATTCAATTGGTAGAAGAAGTCCTTGTGCTGGGAGTAGTCGGCATCGACTATGTACGCGATTTCCAGGATGCCATTTTCATTTACAGTTTGCTTTCTTATCTGGGAATTAGAAATAGAAAGGAAAAGAAAAAAAAGAAAGAAAAAGAAACTTAAATGAATTTAATATCAAAAGAAATTCTAATTATCTTCAATTGGATTAATAGGATTCAATTGGATTTTAAGATAAGTAGTTATTATTTATTTATCGTTATTTATTGCTTGCATGGTTTATTTTAAATAAATTACTTACTCCAAATACGAGATAACTAGGAGCACAGGCAATAAATGGCGCTAAAAAGCTGCTCCATAAAGCCATTTTACATCGAGCTGCGGTACACCAAGTACTGTACTGTGGAAATCTGTGATAACACAAAAAAGAACATTGGATTTCATACCGTAATTTAAGGAGAATTTTTCTTTTATTTTTCCAATCATGCGTTTATTAATAACGCATTTCATTTTCAATTATAAATTCGTCGAATTGTTCGATACGTTAAACAACGTTTTTGTGTTCCAATTGAATTTTCAACTTTTTCGCCCTTTTCAAGGGGGAATATTTTTCGAAATTTCGAATTTGACAAAGACAGGATATCAATTCGCTTCAAATTGATTAATTTCAAGTTAAGCATAAAATTAAAGGTAAGAGCATCAAATTGATCGAGCATAGATTTCATTTTTACTCAAGCAAAAAAAAAAAAATTTGAAATTTCATCGTTGCCTTTTGACACATTTCGATCATGATTTTTGTTCAAATTTTCTCGAGCTCGTAATATATTTAAAGAGTTAAAAGTTTCTATCGATCCATCTTCTGATTCACCTTTATTGAAAATCTTTACATTTCATTATTCGCTCGTAGATTCGTTTATAGCGATGAAACAGAGAATTCAAATGTTCCTTTGATGTCTTAAATCCCGTCGTTCAATCTATGCAATCTATGAGATAATCAAGGATTTAGTCGTATCGGATATAGTCGTATTGCTATTATCTTTCAGATTAATGTGTGAAATTCCATGTGTTGCAATGCATATTTCCAATTTTTTTTTTTGGTTTGATTCTTTTTCCTCATCTGTGTAAATATAACGAAATGAAATTAAATCATCTTCTATGTAACCCATATGTGCATACATTACTTGGAAATTAAGCTTAGACTATTTTTATCATAGCTTTATAACATTTTGTTAAAATAGAATTAAAGAACATCGAGAAGAATGTGAAAACTTATTCAATTCAAAAAATTTTCTACAATATGCATCATAATCATTGCACAATCTCTAATTTATTTGATCTTTTTGAAATTAGTACGTCTTTTTATTTTTTTCTACTTGTCTAGAAAATATTCGTTAGTAGTAAGAAATTCACATAAACGAGAGTTTGCTCATCATCTCGGAAATATCAGAGCTCGAGCGTAATTCGATCTTTGAAGTGTGGGGAAAAGAAATCAACAAATATAACACGTGCTTTGAGATAAAACTGGAATCAATTTATATAGATATTATAGTTTTAATTATAGTTAAAATTTAAAAGAAATATCACGTTTCTGCTCGTTCGCTTTTTTAAGAACGTCAATTTTAAACTTTATGGAGAACATTGTTATTTTAGAACAATATAAAGGATCGAAACTGATGGAACAGATCTCTTTTGTAAATTTAATTCCATCCGATCGAGGTGGAAAGACATGAAACGACCGTGAAATATGGTCCTCGAGATACATATAATTGGTACAATATAATCAAACGAATAAAGTATGATGATCTCTTTCACATCTTGGTAACTCTCTGATCTTTTCCACTTCTTTGATTTTCCACAATGCGATGCAATTAGTCCTCTAAAGATCCAATTAATTTCAAAAAATTATTTATTTCGAATCTGTGTATTGAATAATTGAAGTGTGAAGAAATCTGTCGCGTATCATACTTTCCATCAAAAAGATTTTTACTTTTTTTAAATGTATTTCTGAGAGAATCGACATTTTTCGATTCTTTTTTTTTTTTTTTTTCTTTTTCCTTTTGATTGAATCATCCATTGTTTTTACTGTGCTTTGTTTTTACACCGTTCCATTTTAAAAATACAAATGTATTTGAAGTTAAAACTCTCGAGCGTTGTTAAGAACGTACCATTTTATTTCTAAAATAGTATGAAACACGCGAAAAGAATTTGTAATTTCATCGAATTAATTCTCACGTTTCATCTTAGTTTGTTATACAGATTCAAAAGTTTCGAGAAACTTTGTCCAAATCGAATTGGTTTTCTAACTTGTACACGAATTGTCGATAGCAAGCACACTTTCTGAATACTATCCACGAGTTTCAAAAGTCTACATTATTAAATTTCGATGCAAATGATGGAACAAATATATTCGCTGTTCGATATTCTAAAATTAAAATTATCTCTTTCTCATTTCATTACTATTTATTACTCTATCCATAAGTCTCGAGGAATGTTTGCTTCTAATTTGTAAATGTAACATCGATTTTTCTTAAATTGATAGAGAGTAATATTAAATTCTTTAAAGTTCGAATATTAAAAAGAAAAAAAGTGAAATTATGATATTATGAACGTAACAAATTTTTTTACGTAATATTTGTTGAAATAAATAAAATTATTATTCACTATTTTAACATTTTAATCTAGCATAAATAACAAAATTAGCAGAGAGCTGGATATGAAAGCTACAACTTGAAAAATAATTTCAAACTTTTTGGACAATAATATGTATACTCCTGTCCAAAATCATTAATATTTTTTAAGAATTAAAAAAAAAAAAAGAAACAATCATATTAGGATACAGATTGAAAACTTTTCCCATAAAATTTGTTAAAATTAAAGACAATTAAAACTGCTATTTGTAACATTTTAATTTTGGATAAATAACGAAATTAACAAAGAGTAGTGAGTATAGCTACAATTGGAAAAGTGATTTCAAACTTTTAACCGTCTATATTTCAATAGTTTTTGCAATAGCAAAACTTTATAATAGAGATATATCCAACGTTATTTGATTTCAACATTCACGTTCATGAAAGAAAGTAATGAGAGACAATTTTGCGTATTACTTTTCTCCCCCAGATTATTTTATCTTCTATTTTTTTATATTTTAATCATCTGTGATAGTTTATAATTTAAAATATCAAAAATATTTTCGAACGAAGCAACAAGAAGAAGGAAAGATAATTCACGAACAGTATGCTATATTTTTATATCGAATTCTTTTATTATTGAAACTTCATCTCATATAAATTTACTGATCTTCGTCTAATATTAATGTATACATCTAAGAAATCTAAGAATATTTCAGAATCTTACAGTTTTCCTTCCAAGGCAACTTGGAACCTATCTCTCGTGAGCATACACGTCCATGGAAATTTTATTTTATTTTCCTCTTGCTCCTGTCTATATTTTATATTCTTCTCCATATTTTTTCCCTTATCGTTATATATTTTCTTTATCCTTGATATTTTATTACATCTCAAATTTCCTTTTTTTAATCCCCCTTTTTAATTATTAAAATCTTTTATTTAATTAAAAGTTTTATTCCTCTTACGTATTGTTTACCCTCTTATAGAAGGTAGAACAGAATGAATTGGTAAAATAGAATTATTTCTACAAATTTACCCAAGTATCAATTTCATCACGAGATAATACGTATCTCAGAAGGATCGATGGAAAATTCTATACGGTATAATGGATTGTATATATCTTCACGTTGATCCATCGATAGATCGCGCCATTCGTTGAAATTCGCGGAAATTGAAAAGTAGTTTTAAAACGTTCAGATATATAGATAGTCGATAGAAACGATTTTAGATAAAATGGCCATAAATTGACAATATGTAACAGATCTCATGATAAATTTATTGATTTCAAATTTTATCGTTATCGCGATATACATTATCTAGTTTTTCATCATTTTTCTTGATATCATCGATAATTAAATTTTTTCAATATTTATTGGAAAAAAATATAAACAGTTTGGCTCGATTCATCCAAAATGAAAACACACGTTGCGCACACGTTGTTTTTTTGCGCCATTATTTTAATTTAGGATTTCACTATATCTAGTGAGCTATTATATATATATATATATATACTTAAGTTTTTCAAAGCAAAAATGAAATCTTTGTTATGTTTGCATGAATGTTTGTTGAACGTATATGTATTTTGTGTAACAAACTTCATTCATTCTTTCTACCCTTTTCTTGCTAGGCAAAAAATTCTGCTTTTGTTTCCATCAATTTGAAATCATTGTAAAGGAACTATTTAATATAGAAATTTTAATAAACTCATTCGATATTTAAATTTTGATTTAAAAGAAAAAGAGCCTTTGAATGATCGATTGTCTGATATTTGATTATTTTAGTTAAAAAGCAGTCTTTCGATATTTGATTGAGAACGAATAAAAAGAGAATTTCTACGAAAAATGAATGGAAAAAATTTCTGATAAATAATAGAAAGTTAATTTTAATAATATATTTTATTTAAAATTGTTATAAAACTAGTTTGTAATGTTACACATTTTTCTTTCATATCAACTGTTTGACTATAAAATTTATTTTCCACGCGCATAGAATAAATATGGATTTTTATATTGACATAGTTCATCGATTTATATGTATATAAACTCGAATAAATAATAATAAAAATATTTTAAAGTAAAAAAGAAATGTTTGGACAGCCGAATTAAAATTTTATCTAATTTTGCCTATTTAGCTAAATAAATATCAGCACGATATTACTTAATTTATTATCTATAAATATTTATAGAGTTTGAGGAATATACAGATATGAAAATTAAAAAATTAAATCGTAAAAACTTTGAATGTCGAGTAAAAGAAAACTCGAATAAAAGAATCGCATAAAATATTGTAAAAATATTGTAAAAAGAATCGATACTGTGATCAGTAGTGATAAAAAACAGAAAAAATTCTGCAAATCAAATTTTGTTTTTTCTTTCATGTTTGACTACGTATATATTATCGATTATTTTTTTTTCGTTGTTTAAAAATACACTTGTTCCAAAAAAATCATTCCAGTTTTGCAAAAGAACATATCAAAATCATCATAATATTATCGTTTATTAATTGGATTATAATTAAAAATTTATCTCCTTAAACATCGAATGACAAATATTATGTTACAAAGATTAATATCCATTGTACAGAATGTAATTACAAATTAAATGCACGGTATAAAAAAAACCAATATATTTAATTTATAAATATAATTTAAAATGATTCAAAATTAAATTGAAAAAGGTAATATTTAATTTTATTATATTTATAAATATTTAGTAAACGTTCGTATCGATTTTTTTCTTTTTTCTTTTTTTTTTTTTTTACGTGAAAATAATTAGTTCTTTTTA